TATTGGCCAAACAGAATTGCAATTAATATAGTTTCTGTGTGGTTATATCGGGGCTGGATAACCAGGAAATGAACAGTCTCTGCCAATAGAAGCTTTTCAGTTTCATGAGGTCCCATTTATTCTTATTTTATATTTTTCTTTTTTCTTTTATTTTTTTGCCCTAACTCTACAGGTAGGTTCTTTGCATATATATTATGGTTTTCAGTTCTGTGTTTATGCTTTTGACTGTGCAAATGAGTGGATCTTTATATCTGTTTCTTGTGCCTTTTCTATTTGTTATTGTACTATTCTTATTTCATATTATTATACCTTATTATCCATTCGAAGCCTGTTTGTTTTAAAATAAGAGACAGAAAGGGTGTGGATCTGGATGCTAGGGGATGTAGGGAAGAACAGGAAAGAGTAGAGGGAGGGGAAATGATTATTAAGATTAATGAAAAATTCTTCTATAAAAGAAAGTAATTTTCCTTTGGCAAGTCTACTTAAATGTGCCCTGTTAATCAAGATCATCTGAATAATAAGCGAAAGTATCCACTTATTTCCTTCTATGTAAACAAAGACTGCACCTGTTTCCAGCCACCCAGACCCAAATAATCGCACAGAAACTATATTAATTACAACAGTGTCTAACCTATTATCTCAGGCATCTTATTCTTACAACTTAACCCATTTCTATTAATCTATATATCACTATGAGGCTGTGGTCTACTGGTAAGGTTCCTGCTTCTTTCCCCTACGGCAGATACATGGCACCTGGTTGACCCTTTCTTCTTCCTTTTAGCCCTCAGTTTAGTTTCTCCACTGAGCTAGCTGTATTCTCCCCTGTCATAGATCAAAGCAACTTTTTTATTAAACAATGGTAATAAAACATATTCATAGCATACAGAGGGGAACCCACATCATTTCTATTTAAAACTCATTTCTCTGTAACCTTGTGTTTTAAGCTGTCTGTCATATTTCAGTGAACTTACATTGTATTTCATATTTAAAAACACCAGAACCATTAGCTTATATGCCATTATATATAAGAGCTGTTGAGAGTTTATCTGTGGTGTAAAGTTTATAGACACCCCCTCCATATTCAGGAGAGAGGATTTTCTAAGGTCAGAACTTGCTGTTTATTAGTTGTGACTCACTTTTTTGTCCTCCACTAGAGAGAGTTGTGATTGTGGTTCCAACAGTTGAGAACTTGAGGTGGATCAGGGTGAGGCCTCTGCGAGCCCATCTCAGAAAGAGAAACGCTTTCCTGTTTCTTATTCTTCCGCGGGAATAGTAAGGCAGACCTTTTTCTCAGTGGCATAGGTGAATGTAGTAAATTCTACTAAAATGTGTCTACTACAGACCTATTGAGAATGAATGGTTCTGTAGATAATGACTGATGTTTCTTGCTTGGGTTGTAATCTGCTAACTTGCTGATATAGTTCTACTCATTCTCAACTAGCTGGAGGGTAATGCCTGTACCAGATTTAAAATACATAAATAGGAAAAGAACAAGTGTATTTAGGTAGAAACCTAAACACCAGACTGCACATTACTATACTGATTTATGTACTGCCAAACCCTAATACCACACCAACTTAGTAGGCCAGCTTGGCCTTCGAATTCACAGTAGTTTGTTTTTCCTATAACTTTTAATTCCATACCAAATTTTCTAAATAATTTTTCTAAATCCGTCTCAGTATTAGTATGACATTCTAATCTCTAGAATAGATTTCTTCGGTCATTTTACCACCAAAACTTACCCTAGGAACAGTTATCCACTCATTTGCTGTACATGATGGATACACATTTTAAGTTTCTTGGCATAGTCAAGCATTGGAGTAAGAATAAGAATTTCAAAAGAATTCTGGGCAAAATAACCACCTAAGAAATTAATATCAACAAATAAGCCTAAGATGAAATGTAAAAAGAGTATGATGTTTCCTGGACCATGCTTAGTGCACCACACATTCCCTTGCAGAACTGGAAGGAATGGGGCGGTGTGTACTCAACAGGCACCGTGTTGTATTTGTGTACACACCACACATTCCCTTGCAGAACTGGAAGGAACAGGGCAGTGCATACTCAACAGGCACTAGAACTGCACCACCGTGTTGTATTTGCGTGGAAAAAGTAGTGAGCTTCATTCAGAAGGGAGCATGTTTAATATGTAACATACAATAGCACTTAGGCATCTATAGAAATAGACACCACTTCCAGTTTTATTTTCAGTTATTGATGAGATATTGCGATTTTCAAATGTGTTAACATTTTCGGGTTAAAGTCTTAAAATATTTTTATTGTTCCAAACATAAGATTGTTGTTCTCAGAGAACCATGACTGCTAGCTTCCCAGTGTTTACTTTATGCCTATATCACTATCTGCACAGAAGAGACATCAGGAATAGCTTACAGGTGTTGGCTTTTTGAAGACACTGGCATATACTGTTTTATTTGCATATTTTTGGTTGCTCCATTGAAAAATAACTGAGTTAATGGGTACTAAGAAGATGTAGGATGAATTTGGTTGTGGTTTCTTTGGGTCTTTTGTTGTTGTTGTTGTTTCATGATGCAGGGGCTCATGTAGCTAAGGTTGGCTTGAACCCATAATCTTCTTTACACATCCAAGGAACTGTATTTACCCAAGTACACCACCCTTATGCCCATATTTTTAATGGGCTTGAATTTGTTTTTGACTGTAGATTTGTAACGAAAACCTGACTTGCTAGTACATATGACAGTAAGCTAAAGCCTGTAGTTACCACAGATCTCCACACGATGGACCTCTTGATCTTAAATCATCTTTGTTTTCGAAATTCAATGATCCAAAAATTACTCAGGTAAGAAAAAATTGTAAATTCCTTAAATTTTTAGGTCAGGTAATGGTGGTACACGTCTTTAATTCCAGCACTTGGGAGGAAGAGGCAGGTACAGGCGGATCTCTGTTAGTTTGAGGCCAGTCTGGTCTACAAGAGCTAGTTCCAGGACAGGCTCGATAGCTACAGTAAAACCCTGTCTTGAAGAAAAAAAAAAAAATCCTTCAATTTTTAAAAATTACCTCAAAGTTAGATTTCTTTTTAGTAAAGTTTTGTTAAGCTTTTAAGACTAATATTACCTGCATTAAATATTTTTTTGATTTATCACATTTTATAAAATTGTAAGCAAATGGTTTGTAGAGTTGACTCATAAGAACCTTATTCCTTAGAGCAGCTAGTTAGGAAGAATTCTAAGGCAACAGGAATACTTTTCCTAAGCCCCTGGACTTGATAAAAATTGTTTTCAGGCTCAACGTGTAATAGGTGTCTGTATATGCACAGCACCGTGCCTGTATGAGTTGTGAATTGCTCTGTATAGTATTTACCTAGAATTGGGAAGGTACTTGGCATATGTTGTACATGTAGTCACTATGGAGTTAAGTTGATGTAGAATTTGGAAGGTAGTTGGCATATGTTGTACATGTAGTCACTATGGAGTTAAGTTGATGTAGCCGGCAAACATACTTGATTCATATCTGTCAACCCTTCTCATTCCCTTTATGACACTCATTGAAATATGAAACACAGATGTACAACTAGAGAATAGTTAGGATTAGCAACATTTTTGAGAGATTGAAATTTCAGGTTTTAGTTTTGTTGTTTTGTTTGTTAGAAACTTTGACCTGCTCACCTTTTAAGCTGTGTATCTTGAAATATCAAAACAAACAATAAACCCCAAAAACATACTTTGATTTTAATTGGCCACAACAAAGGGTATCGACGGACTCTACGATTTGCAAATACCCTCCATGTGTGTGAAATTCAGTTACTGGCTTCCAGTTACAAAAGCTTTAATTCACACAACATAGAAGTGATAACACTAAAACCTTCCTGCTATCATTTTAACTAATTAAACTGTTCGGACGGTGGTGACACACGCCTTTAATCCCAGCACTCTGAAGGCAGAGGCAGGCAGATCTCTGTGAGTTTGAGGCCAGCCTGGTCTACAAAGTGAGTTCCAGGACAGGCTCCAAAGCTACAGCAACACCCTGTCTCAAAAAACCAAAACAAACAAAACAAAAACAAAAAGCAAAACGACAACAACAAAAAATTAAACTAATAGAATGTTTACAGGTATCAGGACTGGTCATAAGTCTCTGTGACTGGAGCGCTGTCACAAATGCCAAGCAGGTTTCATAGACAACGCGGCCTACAAGCAGTCTTTTAAAGAGTGAGGAGAGCAGTGAGGCGTGATCAATGTGTACATTTGTCCAGGACACTTGGCCTTGGTGCTGTTTAGCTAACACACTGAGGCTGAGAATACTGGGTTCATGATAGCATGTTAGCTTCTTTACCTCAGTTAGCTATATTACAGCAGTAGTAAGACCATCCTAATGAGCAAGTCAACGTGCTTGGAAGAGCACAGAGCCTCCATTTGAGTGTAGGTCTTGGAGCTTTGAGATCATGCTCCAAGCCATTGTTTCCCGCTGACCGGCATATTGGGCAAAGGGAAAGAAGGTTTCTTTCTGAGAGACTTAAAAGTGAAAACAAAAACAGAAACACAAAACACAAAACCAACCAAACAAAAGCCCATAGCTAGTGTAGGGGACTGTTAATTAGCTCGCCTTCTCCCCTTGTACTGGAGCAAATTACTACAAATCTCCAGTCCAGCTCAACTTTTTTAATGTGGGTTTTGACAGTGTAGGTAAATAAAATCTTAGAGCTCCTCTTAAAGAAGGCATAGATTTTCATGTTGTTAGGATTTTCAGTAAGTTACTTCTAGATTAAATGTACTTAATACCCCTTCATAATTTTCAACTAACTTGAAAAAAGAGTAACTAGTTTTTCAAGGCACAAACCTTTATATATTTGACAGAATCAACAGAGAACAAAGTTGGAATTTTCTTTCTTGTGTTTAGATTATGATGGTTCAAAGGCTTTAAGAATTGACTTGTTCTTTCACAGTCCCCAGGTATACCTCATCCCAACCCCAAGAAAATGGAAGCCTGGGTTTATTTCCTGCAATAAGTAGTCATTTAATTAAAGAACAAAATTAACAGGAATCAAAATGTTGGAACTGTATTTTTTTGTTAGACATCATATAAAAAAGAGAAAGTATAGTACAGTAAATCACTCTATAACATGAACTTAGTTTTCAAATCATCAGGATAAAAATGTCTTTTCAACAAAATACTGAATGACACTGTGTCACATGTCCCTCGAGGTGGAGGCTGGGATGTGAGCCTGCACATGCATGTCGCCCGTCCTCCAGGACACTGCAGAACTGTAGAACAAGGCTGAAGGCAAACACGTTTTCTTCTGGGAGTTACTCTGGGCCTTAAGTGACCCCAACAGTTCACACTCCTCAGACATCAAAGAAGGGAGTGTGTCCTCTGGGTTGCTCCTCTTGTAGGTGAGTGGTCAGGATTACGCCTCTGTGTGATTCTGCTCTTCTCACAAACACAGCAGTTAGTCTTGAGGAAAGTTCCCTGATGAATGTTCTGTGTTGGTATCAAAAATTAAACACAAATTCTTCTCAGAAGAAAATCTCTATGGCCTGTGGAATCTAAAAATGATTTTTAAAATTAGATATTTCTAACAGTTAAAACCTTTCACAAGCAACTTTACTGCTCTTCGGAGTCTCTCAGATGTACATAGAGGACTTGAAGGCGTTGTTGCTGTAGCTGAGCTCCCAGAGTTTCTTCTGACCACTACCCTGTGTGAGAGCCGCCAGTGAGATTCTCCGCATACACAGAAGCTCTAGGACTCAGCCTGGGTGTCAGCAACTCATGAAAATATCTTCAGATTAGTAAGTAACAAACTCATAATAATGCTTAATACATCCAAGAAGATGACATGAGTCTCAAATACTGTGCTGACTTTGAAGTACTAAAATCTGAATTAGTCCCTCACTTTCAGGTTTGGGGTTTAGTCTTTAAAGTCTTGTCATTGGAAAGCTTTCAAAACTTACAGAAATAATGGTTTATGTCCATATACAGGATGGTCTATTTCTTTTCAATGAGCATTAAAATGAGTTTTAAGGATTTTATTTCCTAAATTTACGTCAAGAATAGTAACAATTAGGCTAACCTGTCCAGCGTGAGAGGAAACTTTAAAAATTTTGTTGTATGACTTTCTTTCCTTACAATCCTTGCACAGTGTCATAGTTGTGGGGAAGTTTCATAGTTATTTTCTGTTCTGTAGCCATAGCCACAGTCAGTTTGCAGAGCAAACTGTTTAAATGAATGTAGTGGCCACTTGGGATCCATCACTGCAACTGAAGGCAGTGTACAGGAGCAAGGTTGCTTTTTTTCTATCTGGGGCTTGAGCGTCCTTCAAGCAAGAGGACAATGTGATTGCTAACGGCCGAGTTCTCGTGTGCCTGTGAATGCTGAGACAGAGGGCTTTGAAAGTGTGCCCAGCACTAGCAGGAAAGAGGTTTTCCTCCTTCTGTGCAGTAGCGTGGGCATGAAGTGTGCTGTTCAACTTTATAGGGAAGCTGGGCAGAGCTGGGCAGAACACCCTACCCTGGCCAACTGCCATAAGCTCCATGAAGGCAGGCGCTTCTTTTGTATAGGTCAGTGCCGCAGCCTCAGCACCCGAGTATGCTGCACATAGCCAACTGTCAAATGTGTCTGAAGAAGTGAGTGTGCTTTGTGGTTGGTGAACAATGTTAGCATCAATATAGATAGAAGATAGGAAGATAGAGGGTGACTTCACAGCAACCTAGATGTGGATAACTGGAATTAAGTACCTAAGAAAAATTGAGCCTGCGACCCATTTTCTTAAACATAATGTGTCCCTTCTTGCCACTAATCTGTATGTAACAATGGTTTTCCAAGGAGGTGCTGCATATAAAGCTCCTTGTGGCTAGACGCCATGCAGGTCATGCAGCAGGAAAGTTACCTTGTCAAGTGCTTGCTGGACGCATGTACCTCCATTTCATTACTTTTATACTCGTTTAATTCTTTACGAATTGCTGCCTGAAATTTAAAAAAGTATAGATTTTCAAGTTAACAAATTACTGCCTTTACATATTGTTGGGCATTAATATATGCAGATACTATGATCAATAATCAGAAAGGAATTAATTTGCTGTATTGTAATGGGGCAGACAACCCTTCCCACACTAACAGATGACCCTTGCACAGACTTGGAGAAGCAGTGACTAATAAGATCAGCTTTTGATCATCTTGCTGTTGGCCTATCAGAAAACCCACACGTCCCTGGAACCTTTTTCTTTTAAACAAGTGTGGCTGAACTGATAAAATGTTTGGTCTTCAGTGAGTGGGCGGGGCAGAACCCTCCTGACCCCCACCACCCTGTCCGTAGGCTTTGAATTTTGAAGATGTATTTTTATTTTTGTGTAGATAAGTACTCTCTCTGCCTGTACACCTGCATGTTAGAAGATGCATCAGATACCATTAAGATGGCTGTGAGCCACCATGTGGTTGCTGGGAATTGAACTCAGGACCTCTAGAAGAGCAGCCAGTGCTCCCAACCAGCCCCATCACTGGAACTTTTGAGCATCTGTTTCTCTTTTGTGCTGTGGCAGAAGCAGAGTGGGCATCTGTTTTAGGGCCTCTAGTCTGCCCCTCCTGTGGCTTCCCTAAACACTCTTCAGAGGAGCCCTTGTGGATCCAGGTGAGATGAGGATCTACTGGAGACATAGAAAAACCTCTGAGGTAAGATGTTTTCCTATATTCAGAGAACACTGACTGCTAAAGATACTCCCTCCCTTCATCATCTAAGTGTGTCCAACTCCAGGGTAATAGCATTTCTCCAGGTTGATACAGTAACTGAATATTTCTAAGCATATTTAAGAACAAACAAGTAATTCAGTGATTGTATAATTTTTATCTCCCAAGCAAAGTATTCTGAAAGCTTCCTCTATACTACTACTAGATGATAATCATTTGAGAACAGATAGTCACTTACGCTGTGTGCTTCGGTCATTTCATTTCCTTTAGACCATCCTTACAAAGTTTTGCAGTTCACACATCCATGGCACTTGGGAAACCCTTGTACATTCTGTGATGCCCACCCAGGTACCACTTGCATTGACAACACCAAATGTCTTAGTGACACTGCCAAGTATCCTTCAGAACAAAACTGTCTCCCAACTCAGTCCTAGATATTATCTTCATGGAAGAGCAGGGTGGGGGGCATAGTCTACCTAGTATGGGCCACAGTGTCTAAGAAAGCCGCAGCCTGATTAGAAGATGTGCCACTCCATTCCCCAACCAGCCCAGGAGCAGTGTACCTTATCTGCTGCTGACAGTCTTGTCCAGGGTTTGTCTGCCCTCCTGTCATAGTCCTGTGCTCTTGCTACTTCCACATAGTCACTGAAACGGATCAGAATTTTTCTGTCTCTCAATTCATCAACAGTGGGTCTCTGATTAAGCTAAAATAAAAAAATAATTATAGTTAGGTATCATATGTCACACTTGTTTTCTTGTAGAAAGCAGTATATATATATGTTTTATATATAATATATATATATAATGTACAAACAACTGTACTAGTGAGTTAGCACGAACACGGTCCCTAATGTGATTTAAGAATGCATCGTTTATCCTTGCCTAATCCCTTTCTTCCAACACTCACCTGTCCTGACAGAGCACATGGTCAAGGAGTGCTTGATAAATTGCACGTGGTCAGCAGTCTATAATGCTGACTACTACTCTCCTGAAGGGCTGGAAGGCTGTTCTGCTAGCTCCAAACTCAACTGCCTGGGTCAGCCATACAGTGGAGGGAGTAAATTGGGAGGCAGATTTGGGCTGTGGTGTTGCTTCCTAGACCAGCCATTGTAAATCAAGTTTGATGTCACACAGACCCTTGATACTGACATGTTCTATAATCAGAGCAGCAGGGCAGCTCAGAGTGACAGACTCTAAAAGGTATATGGTTCTTAGTGTAAAAAAATAATGCTCAGCTGCCTTCTAGCGAGGAATCAAGTGGTATTTGGGTGATTGACTTCCCAACTAACTACTGTTAGGGCCTCACCGCCTAGGTAGATACTGGGAAATGTCAGAAGGCACTGCTTTGACCCCATGTTTTTGACAACTTGCTCCCATGTTGTCTGGGAAAGCACGAAGTCATAGGATGCCTTGCACTCACCATCAAAATGCTGCACAAGCTTTCTCTAGTTCACGTCTGTTTATAAAATGCTTTCATTATAATCCTGTGCAGGTTAGTTTTGTCCACTCTACATAAATTCCGGTCACCTTGGTAGAGGCAATACCAGTTGTGGAATTGCCTCCATCAGATTGGCCTGTGAGTATGTCTGTGTGGACATTTTCCTGATGACTCATGTGGGAGGCCCAAGCTCACTGGAGGTGGTGCCTCCCCTGAACACTTGTCCCTGAGCCAGACAGAGAGCAGCATTTCTTCATGGTATCTGCTTTAGTTCCTGCCTCAGTTTCCCTCAGTGATGGACGATGACTTGGAAATATAAACAAACCCTTCCCACGTTGCTTTTGGCCATGGTGTTTTAACACAGCAATAGAAAGCAACCTAGAACAATACCTTTCTTGTTAATCTTTGCTTGATTTCTCTCCTTTCTTCCTGCTCTGTCTGATCATTCCTTTCTGTGAAGATTAAAATAGAGATAGAAGCAGGTTAAGCATTTCTTGTTACACAAGCAGCCACCAGATTTCCTAGGACTACTTTATAGATATCTGGGTTTGGAGTCACTTTCCCGAAAGCTGCTTAGGACATGCTGGCCGAAGATGTCACACACTCCTAGTTTTTGTTCTTTTTCTTTTCTTTTCCTTTCCTTTTTTAGACAGGGTTTCTCTGTGTAGTGTTGGAGCCTGTGCTGGAACTCTCTCTGTAGACCAGGCTGGCCTCAAATTCACAGAGATCTGCCTGCCTCTGACTCCCAAGTTCTGGGATTAAAGGTGTGCACCACCACTGCCTGGCCATCCTTCCTAGTCTAATTTTCCTCTGCCCTATACAGTAGATGTCTGTTGATGCTGCTTACTTTTGGGGAGCAACTGTCTGTTGGTCTTCATTCCACTCAAATATATCTTTATGTTGGAACACAGGGCGCGTATAGTCGCTATAGCACAATCGCACATGTGCTCAGCTCTAAGTAGCCAGAGTTTGTCTCTGTCTTTCCATTTGACAAATGTGTACACCTTTTAGACAGCACCAAAAACATGAACTTCAGATTCTGGGTAACATAATATCAAATATGTGCATACTCACAACTCAACTGCTTCTCTATTGTTGAAGCATAAATATTTGTCTATGACAGTACCTTCTCAGGGGACAAAGGCCCTCAGAATTGGCTTTGCCTCTTGCGTTATGTTCATATTGGGAGCTAAAGATAGTAGTATGTTGAAGTACTGCGGTACTATAAGCCTGGCCCTTGGATACAGAGAGAAGAATGTAGTCCTATTTCTGGCATTCTTGGTTGCTAAATAAAGACTCAGGTCTCCATCCAACTTTAACAACTCCCACCTAGGAAACAGATCTCACCCACCAGCAAACCGAATAGCAGCACAATCATGTTTGGGGAAGGGAATCCTTGAAACCTACACCTAACATAATTTCACATTATCTGCATTTATTTAAATAGTACATTTCAAACACTCATGTATTGGAGCAACTGGGTATGTGGGTGTTTAATACATCTGAGTATCTTCCATGGGTATCCAGGAATGTGTGATTATTCCACGCTCTATGTTCTATTGTTGAAGGGGACTAAGAACTTGGGCAGCCAGGAGGTGAGCCAGCATTCATATGTTAAACTGTCACATTTCCTCCGGGGGCCTTAGCTGCTTCACTAGTAAAATGGGGACAATAGCACAACTCTTAGATTTGTAATAAGGATTAACCCAGTCATCATATTCAATTAGGCTACCAATACATGGAATTGTGAGTGTATGTCAGATGCACTGATATGTCTCCTCTTGAAGGAAAGAAAAGTTTAGTCACAAGTGGACGCACATGTAGTGTGCACAGCTAGGTGTGCTACTCCTTTTCTTATATATGCTAGCCCTGTCCGTGCCACAGAACAAAACAACCACACAAATCAAATAGTGGGCTTCTAGCATCCTCCCACTCAGGATACTTGACAAGGCTTCTGTGTAAGGATAAATCAGGCTTGCTGGCAAAGGCGCTGTGTTTACAATGTGTTGCCATGGCCATCACAAGGAAAATCCACTTCTGCGGGCTAAAGGTGAGTGCTTTCAATTCCAGCTGCTTGCTAGCTCCACTCACCAAACGGTCTATTTTTAAGACTTCATTGTTATTTCAGATAGTAACACAATTAGAAGCACAGGTGTGTGTGGGTGGGGGACCTGGTTACACATATAGAAGACACAGCTATGACCCGGGGCTCTCTTCCTGTGCCGGTAGCACACCTAGAGTATGGCATGTCCTAAACCTGGAACTTCCCTTGTCCAAGTCTAGACCACAGCTTTCGATAATCACCAATGACATAAGAATATCAAACATAGCTCAAATAGCTTGAGTCCTGTCGAATGGATCAAGCATGATATCATCCACAGTCTAGGCAACATAACAGCACTCACTATGTAAGTTTCAAGAATCAACTCCTAATCTTAAAGGTTTTCCCCCAGCAGTCTCAAAGTTTGGGGATAGCTTTAAGGTTGAAGGCAGTATCGAGGCAAAGATGTGAGAAGAATGGGTTGAGTTGCATGTGCAGATTAAGGCTCCTCTGGTAGTACCAGGTCAGCCTTGGTACTGTTACAACTCTGAAAAAGGTGTTCACAAAGAACACACAGCAAGAGAAAGACTTGAGTCATGCTACGGAATTGACCCAAAGACAACACATACTATAGAAAATACTTCAAAGATGAGTCTATCAGGTCAGTACCACTCAGGGCACACCTTAGGGGGGTTTGACTACCTTCCACTACCAAAGACATTAACCTTGCAAACAGTGGACAGTATCGCTGGACACCTGTGTTTAGCACATTCACATACCTAACTAATTTGGAACCCAAAGTTGTGAGCCACAGAAGTTTTCCCTGCTCACGTGAGCTATCATTTATTTCTCCTAGGAGGAACAAGTAAGGGGTGTGCCATACTCTGGTACAACTCCTGACTGGGTCTGTGATTTCTAGTGCCAATAGGACCCCCACTGCAAACTCCCTAGGAGCTCTGCTTGGTACCCAACATGCACAGGGTTAATGACTTGTTTCTCTGGGATCTACAGGACCATCTGACAAAGCTGAAAATAACATGTTTAATTCTAGGGAAGAGCTATTTTTAATTTCATTTTAGAAGCTTTCTGCATGCAGCCACTTTGAGGCCCTTCTTTTAGAATCGCTTAGCTACTCAGATTTTAGCAAGCCCAGCATGTTCAGCCTGCAGAGCTGGGCTGGGCTACGAGAGCTCAGATTGCTGCAGCAGCCTCCGCACACGCGAGGGAAACCTCTAGAGGAATCACCCGCTACTCACGTTTCAGGATATTTCTTCTCTCCAGCTCCTCCACGGCTGGTCTCTGGCTCAGCCTTCTGCGGAAAAACACCAGGATTATGTTTTGCACCATGGTGGCACCTGGAAGTTCTAGCCAGGGTCTGTGCAGCGAGAGGCGCCTGGCATACACTCCAAGTTCGAGATCACCTTCCGAAAGGGAGAAGAGCGTGGACCACTGGAGCCTCTTGCTGGCAAAATCAAGTCAGACTTCCATGTGGGAGGGGAAGCCGGTTCACAGAGGAGGTCCTCGCTCCACTCCACACCATCACCTGCCCCCTGTCTGGTGCTCAGTTCACCCAGCCACATGCATGTTTAAGCAGTGCAGAGATTCATTCAGGAAAGTCTCCCTGCCCACTAGCTAATGGAGAGGCAGGCAGCACCACGGCTGGGCTTCAGGCTTCTGACTGCAGCCATGCCCCCAGATCCTGGCTTCCAGGCATCAGCTCCATCCTCCATCCTCAGCACAAGGAAATCAGCCCAGGAATCCAGCCACCTGCCTGCCAGACTGAGAGGGAGCCTCTCTGCTCTGCCCCACCCAGGGGGAGTGTCTAGGGCCAGTCAGTGAGCACACAGCGCTAACACCAATGACAGCTGGGGATCTCCCAGCTAACTAGGAAAGGAGCCGCCCACACATGCGCCTCCCGCCTCCCTTTCTCCCTCTAGCAGCCCAGATGAGTGTGCCAGTGTGCTGTGTGGAGACAAATTACTATTTCCTTTTCAGATGGTCTCTGGCTTGGGGAGTTGGAGAATGCAGCCCAAAAAAACATCAAAACCCCACAAAATATAAACAAAGGGTTTGTCAGGAGAGGGAGGCATAATTAGACAAAAGTCAATGCTAAGCTCCAATTACTTTTATCTAAAATAATGGCCTTGGGTTTGAGCCAGAAGCCTTCCTACTTCCGGATCCTCAGCCACTGGAGAGAGGCATCAGGGCCAAGGCCCTGAATGCTCAGAATCGGGAACTATAACATTTTGCCCCTGTGAAAATGCTGTCTCCAGAACTATGTATCTATTTATAACCCCTGTCCCCTGTCCCAGCACAAAGACCAGGGCGTGATATGTCTGCTCCATGCCTCCCTCCACACTGGAACACAATTTGCTTTAGGCTCACCCAGAGTTTTGTCTGCCAGCTCTTGCAGGGTAAGGGGTGGCCTCCACCCTATTCCTAATGCTCCCTGAGATTTGAACCTGGACCCTGACAACTTCTGTCTGGCAACCAGAGCCAGGAGTCTCCGCATCTGTCCTAGGTAATGCCTGACAAACCTGGCCCCTGCTCCCTGCTGCTGTGGCCCTACACAATGACCCTAGACCACCAACTATGCATCAGATACTGTTCCAAGTCCCCTGGACACACTGCTGAGTCTATAAGGTTTGGGGGAGCTCACTGTCCAGAGGGAAAGGCAGATGGACAAACAAATCACCAGCCATTTTACAGTGGCCCACACACAGAATAGATGTGAGGGATAAGGAGCTGAGCAGGGCAGGGGAATTGGGGGAAGGTGCAGGTGCACTGAGCTCCTGGTGACAAGAAAGGGCCTAATGACTAAGAGAAGGAGAGCCCACATGTCAACCTGCTGCAGTTAAGCCTATGAGGTCCTGGAGCACATATGTGAGTAGGCTTTTTCTTGATGGTTCTGGGGCTAGTGAACGACATAAGGTATTCCTTCCTTCTACCTGCTCATGAAGCACTCCATTGACAGGGAGTGCTGTAGCACCAAAGGCAATATGACAGGGAAGCAGAGGATGCGCTTTGGAAGGTCAGATGCTTGCCATTTTCTAGCTGAGTATCTGCAGGCAGGGCACTTAGCTTTTCTGAGCCTTACTTCTCACACGCAAGGAGAACTAAGCAGATCTTCAAAGAGTTGCATACACTCAGCCAATTAAAGATGCTGTTTTCTAACATTTGCTTGGGATTAAGAAACCTCAAGAATTTGCACACCTCAAGGGTGACTGTACCCGAGGGCTTTATTACCCCTGTGAAATTAGGATTCGGGCATCCATGCATACTTTCAGAAAAGCAATCCTAACAGCGCTGTTCTATATCTGATTATTCTTGTTATCTGTGTGAAGTGGTCACCTGTGCCAGGCACTTCCTCCTAGCTCCAAATGCCATTCTTCAAGTTTGCTACCCAGCAGAAGACAAGCAGAGACCATAGGGAATTAGTACATTGGACTGGGCCTGGAAACAGCTAAACTGCTCAGTCTCTCTCCCTCTTTACCTGTGTCCAGGATCCAATCCACTGTGGACCACCATGAAGGCGGCTGGTCTACGATGAGGCCCCTTGGCTGGCTAGTCTGAGTATCTCACAGGAATCAAGCCAAAGGTGGGAGGTGGTACTCTTCCTTCCCACAGTGCTGTACAAAGGAGGTACCATGAAAAAGCTCAGCCCTAGGTTAGGTGAATATAGCTAGTATGAGCATCCCATCACATTGCTGTGAACACTGTCACCATTGTACAACCTCTAGTTAGCTTCTCAACCAATGTTTATGGAATTAGATGGAAGTTTTTTTTTTAAAAAAAAAAAAAAAACTAACGAAATCCCCACTCAAAGTACAAAACCCTGGAATGAGATGGTTCACAGGGACATGTGACCACCTGAGCTTTAGCTCAGGGAACAGGGCCTGCACCTGAGCTAATGAGGTATCTATCACCCCTGCCTCCACCCCAACTCCAGCATCTGAGACCAGAACAATAGGAGAGCCTGACACCGCTAGTTCTGCATGTGGCAGATGGGAATCGAGTCAGACATCTGGGCTCAAGTCAGGCCACAGGAGCCAGAACCCACTGCTGGATCCAAAGCAGAGAGGACCACAGAGGATAGACAGTGGGCAATGGATGGCAGGAACAGCCAAGCCTGACCTTCAGTGAGGTGTACAGGCATTGGCTGCCAAAGCAGTAGCCACTTAGGCCAGGGGGACATGGACATTTTGTGGGCAGAACCAGAGCCTGGGAAAGGAGGTTTGGGCCCAAGGGAAACCTCATGTTCCTAGAACTCCCTGAGAGTGGACATGGTGTGCCTTAGCCAGTGAGCCCAGAGAGGCAGCAACAGGTGTTGGTGAAGGATGAATAGAATGGGCACTGGGTGTTTCCCCATTCCCTGGAATGTAGCATCCAGTCTGAACAGTGCTATCATCTTAGGGACAAGGAGCCAGGAAACAAAGTGCACCAGCAGAAGTGCTCTGGGAGCCAAGGAGGCCAGGAGCACAGGAAGTGAAGAGCAGGCCCGTGGGTGTCACAGCCCAGTGGGATGCCTGGCTCATTCGACTGCTCTGTCGTGATTTGGTAACAATGACTTACCACCTAGTGCTGACTCCCCACAGTAAAACTTGATGTGGTAGGTAAGGGTAGCACCACAGGGCAGAAGTACTCCCCAAAGGAGAGAGGTGTCTTGACACAATAGCATCTAGTATGCCCGGGAGGGAGTGTCTGAAGGCTGGAGGAAAGAGTGTGGGCTGGGCTTTCCTCACCCACTTCCAGGAGCATGACAAGTCCCAGGTGTCTGTGAGTCCCTGTAGGACCTTGTACAGGAGAGCTAGTAGGACAGTGGCTTTTTGTAGTTATCAACCTGAAAGTCACCTAAAGCCCTGACATGTGCTGTGAATTCAATCAGGAATGGGCAGAGGGATAAGACAGTGAACTGAACTGTGGAGGCAGAGGCAGCCAACACACTGTGTGGAATGCCCAGTTGGGTACTGAAGATTTGTAAAGGGGGTGTCTGCACCTTCACATTCCTGTCTGTGGGAGGATGACAAGTTTTGCTCCACTGGGTCAGCACCTGGAGTCAGGGTACTGACTTCTGAAAACCAGACGACTCTGCCCTGGCCATTGGCTGTCAGGGGCCATGTTCTCCCCAGCCTGGGCTGTGCTGGCTGAACTCCTGCTTTGCCCACTTACAGGGCTGAAAGGATCAGCATAGACTGGATGCAGGTAGACATGAGCGTTATGGTATCTGTCCCCTGCTGTGTGGAACCTCCCATAGGGCTGGTACCACAGAAAGGACGCCTGTATCAGACGCTCAGGTCCTCTCCCTTAGACCCTTCATCAGATACTCCCATCCTCTCCAGCATTCACACCTCTCTCCCTCTATAGATCGTCCTCCATCAGACATGCCCTCCTCTCTCTAATCATTTCCATGCCTGTGGTGCAGAAGGCACCTGTGTCTAGCGTTCATGCTGGTGTCCTACACCCCTGCCAAGCATCCAGGTGCTGGGCACTCTCAGAATACCCAGTAGTACTTGTAGTCCAGCCTGCTGCCTTTCTGCTCACTTTGAGCTTCAGAACCTACAGCACATCTGCTGAGAGCCACTGTCCCCCTCTCAGGACACTCTTCCACTCTCCTGTCAGCTCCCTAGAGACAGGAGCTGACTCTAGGCTCCTGACATCATAGAGCACAGAAAGGGGGCTACAAAGTGATCTGTGCATGATGACTTGAGGCTGCAAGGACAAAAATCCAGAGGTACCCAAGAGACAGAACATTTCTCCTTTTAATCTTGCATTCATGGTGACTGCAGTCCTCAGGATGCCGTCATGAATGCACTTTAAAAAGCACAAAGGCCACACAACATGCAGCTGAAGCCAGCCCTCAAGACTTACTGCTTTGTGCACCCCTCTAAGACCTCACTCTTCTCCCACATCAGCTGCCCAGGGTCTGGGATGTCCTTGAGTGCTCCCTAAGACTCCCCAGGCCACACACTGGGATAGTTGCACTGCTCGGGCAAACAGCCCAGCCATTGCCCCAGCAGCACAAGACTGGAGATTGCACTGACTCCAGTCAGCAAAGGCCTCCAGCAAGGATGGACCATTCCTGTGTCCAGTTCTGCAGCCTGGAAGTAGGGGGTATCAGCCTGTTTCTACACAATGGCTGTGATCACTGAGATGTGCAGTGTGCACGAGTTCCCTCTGGGGGCCTCTGGCCCTGCCTAGGGTCTTCCATTTGTCTGGCCACAGACTAAGGCAGAGGTAAATGCTGCCACAGGCCTCTCCTAATAGACTGATCAGGGCTCTGTTCATATTTAGTGGGATGCTGGGGCTAAAACC